CGAGTTCGCGCATGCGCAGTAGAAGCCACGGCCGCCCGCTGGGCACCAATGGCAGCGCAGGGCGGGATATTAAATGTCCTGAGCTGTCATTTCAGTGCCTTCTGGTCTTACCTGTATCCTGTGATTCTGAACCTGTGCCTAAGTAAGTTATTGACCCGGATTGCTCTTGACCTCCTCACATTTGGCTCGCCGGCTCCTGGGCCTTCCGCATCACTCCCTATGGCAGAACCCCGAGTACCCTTACCCAAGCGCTTCCACGGGGATCGCACACGCTTCCGGTCATTCCGTGACTCCTGTCTGCTCTATTTTGAACTGCAACCACGGACTTTTTTGACGGAATCGGTGAAAGTGGGGTTTGTTATCTCCCTGTTGCAGGGTGAACCCAAGACTGGGCCCCACCGACTAAGGGGAAATAATGACCCCCATCTGGTTACGGTTGACAATTTTTTTAATGCTATGGCCATCTTATATGATGACCCACAACGGGCGGCCTCGGCCGAGGCCACATTATACGCACTCCGACAAGGTCGGCGAGCGGCTGAAGAATACGCCTCTGACTTTAGGCGTTGGATGAGAGACACTCGCTGGAACAAGTTTGCGCTTTTGCACCAGTTCCGTATGGGCCTATCTGAGGCTCTGAAAGACGACCTCGCCCGGGTGGAGGTGCCCGAGACATTAGAGGACTTGATTGCACTCACCATTAAAATTGACCGTAGGCTAGGGAGCGCAGATTGGAGAGGTCTGGTCAGGGTCGCGGAAATACCTGGGGGTCATTCCAAGGATCCAGTCAAAATACTAGGCCAAACATTCAGAAACCTGCCGTCTGAAGATGCTCCCGAACCCATGCAGCTAGGCCTGGCACGGCCTAAACTACCGCCAGAGGAACGCCAGCGCAGACGCTCCCAGAACCTGTGTCTCTACTGCGGTGAAGCTGGTCACATGGTACGTTCCTGCCCGCAGAAAACTGAGTAAGTTCACCTCATCTTCTTTATTCATTGGCAATATGAATCCGTCCCAATACTTAGTTGTCCCCTCTCCTTTCAGCTTTCAGAAAGGACCGTGGAGGTGACGGCCATAGTTGATTCGGGGGCATGCAGCTGTTTTGTGGATATCAATTTTGCTCACTGGCAGGGTATCCCCCTCCATCCAAAGGAGAAGGGGTTTCACATCTTTTTGGCTGATGGTTCCGGATAAAGTCAGGGGTGGTTAACCAGGAGACCCCTTCCATTGTGACTTCCATTGCCGGTCAACACCGGGTGAGCTCCTCCGCCTGGATGCTATTGCATCACCCCTTTTCCAGTCATTCTGGGGCTCCCATGGTTGCGGGCCCATAACCCCCAGATTGACTGGGAGACTGGGGTTATCTCGTTCCCTTCCCCATACTGTCGGGAACTGTGCCGAACTTCGGGCCCGGAGGTCCCCAGGTCCTCCTGTGCTCTGAAGGGGATGCCAGCCTAAAACAAGTGATTCCTGCAGCCTATCATTAATTTCTTGATGTGTTCAGTGAACGGGGAGCAGATACGCTACCCCCCCCACCGCCCATATGACTGTCCTGTTGATCTGTTACCCGGTTCTGAAATTCCCTTCGGGCAAATTTTTCCCCTTTCTGAACTAGAATTAGGGGCCCTGAAGGATTATATTGAGGACAGTCTCCCGGAAGGGATTCATCCGTCCCTCCACTTCCCCAGCAGGTGCAGGGATCTTTTTTGTAGAAAAGAAAGACAACACCTTGAGGCCATGTATCGACTATCGGGAATGGAATAGGGTCACAATCAAGAATCGTTACCCATTACCACTGGTACCAGAATTATTCCAGAGCTTAAAGGCTGCAGTAGTATTTACCAAGCTGGACTTAAGGGGAGCCTACAACTTGGTTCGCATAAGGGAGGGGGATGAGTGGAATACGGCCTTCCGCACCCGTTTCGGCCATTTCGAATACCTGGTCATGCCTTTCGGGTTGTGCAATGCGCCGGCCACCTTCCAGCACTTTGTAAATGACATCTTTAGGGACTTCCTGGACATCTTTGTCATCGTCTACTTAGACGACATTTTGATTTTCTCATCCTCCCTGGGGGAGCACAGGGTACATGTAACAAAGGTTTTGGGGCGGTTGCGGCAGCATGGGTTGTACGCTAAAGCAGAGAAATGTTGCTTTGAACAGGCTAGCGTTACATTTCTGGGCCTGATCATCTCCACCACGGGGGTCGCAATGGACCCTCAGAAGGTCTCTGCGATTCTAGATTGGCCTGAACCCACGGACAGGAAAAGCGTCCAACGTTTTATCGGGTTCGCAAACTTCTACCGGAAGTTCATCAAGAACTTCTCGGGTCTGGTTTCCCCCATCACTCAGTTAACCAAGCTTGGGACGCGATTCAGATGGACGCCTAAGGCACAGGAAGCTTTTGAAGCGTTAAAGAAGTTATTTACCTCGGCACCCATTCTGGGTCATCCTGATGCCTCCCTGCCCTACTTCTTAGAAGTAGATGCGTCGGAGAACGCGGTTGGCTCCATTCTTTCCCAGCGAAAGGGCGCCAAGGAATTACTTCACCCAGTAGCATTCTTCTCATGGAAACTTACCCCTGCGGAGAAGAACTACGACATTGGGGATCGGGAACTACTGGCTATCAGAGACCGCATTAGAAGAATGGAGGTACCTGCTGGAAGGTGCCTCACACCCCATTCTGAGATATTCACGGACCACAAGAACCTGGAATATCTGAGGACCGCCAAACGTTTGCACCCACGACAAGCAAGATGGACATTGTTTTTCTCGAGGTTCCAGTTCCACATCACATACAGGCCAGGATCACAAAAAAAGAAGCCAGATGCGTTGTCACGCATGTACGAGGACGCCAAGGAGATCCCAGTACCTGACACTATTCTGCTGCAGGTAACTTCTTGGCCCTCCAGACGAACCTTCGCTCTGAGATAATGAGAGCATCCACAGCCATGTCTACCTCCGATGGGGCGCCCCTCCAGAACAAGGGGGGACTCCTATGTAGGGAGGACCGGGTTGTGGTGCCGGAGGAAGCCCGAACCCTAGTCTTGGAACATTGCCATGACCACCCGATGGCAGGACATTTTGGCCCGGTCAAGACCCTGGAACTTCTCCGACGTTCCTTCTGGTGGCCAGACATGGCCAAGGATTGTAAGAGTTACATGGGCTCCTGTGTCACCTGCCAGCGGAACAAGCCTTCAAGAAATAAGGCGTGGGGCCTGCTACGTCCATTACCCATCCCTGAACGGCCCTGGCAGAAGATCTCTATGGACTTCATAGTCGAGCTTCCACCTTCGCTGGACCACACAGCAATTCTCGTGGTCGTGGACGTTTCCAAGATGGCCCATTTCATTCCTCTACGGAAGACTCCATCGGCAGCCGAGACGGCGCAAGTCTTTATTCGAGAGGTTGTTAGACTGCATGGGGTCCCCGAAGACATCGTCTCGGACCGAGGGGGGTGCAGTTTACCTCGAGATTTTGGAGGGCATTGTGCAAAGCCCTGGATATCAAGCTATCCCTTTCCTCGGCATTTCACCCTCAGACCAATGGTCAGACCGAAAGGACCAATCAGACCCTAGAGCAATACTTGCGATGCTACGCGTCATTCTCTCAGGACGACTGGGTGCCACTTCTTCCTTTGGCGGAATTCGCGTATAACAACGCTTGCCATTCAGCAACAGGGCAGTCCCGTTCTTCTCCAACTATGGGTTTCACCCTGTCTTCCTCCCGGATTTAGTCCCGGAATGCCCAATTCCAGCAACACAGGATACACTAACCTTTTTTCGCGTCAAACAATAAAAAACTACAAGAAGCCGTCAGTCAGGCCCAAGAAGATTACAAGAGGGCTTTTAATAGGAAGCGAAGGGGGATCTGGTGTTGCGGCCCGGGAGAAGGTTTGGCTGGCTACAGCTAACCTGAAGATGCTCTGCCCGTCAAAGAAGTTGGGACCTAAATTTATAGGGCCTTTTTGCATTAAGCGGATGGTCAATGAAGTGGCCTATGAACTTGTTCTCCCTGAGACACTCAAGATCCACCCTGTCTTCCACGTGTCCCTGCTGAAGCCAGTAGTCCCTGATGCCTTCCCGGAACGGGAATCCAGGCCCCCGGAGGCCATAACAGTCGAGGAGGAAGAAGAATTCGAGGTGGAGACAATCCTGAAGTGCCGACGAAGGGGGGGCCAGACCCAATTTCTCATCAAGTGGAAGGGCTATGGCCCTGAGGACAATTCATGGGAACCAGCCCATAATGTCCATGCACCCAGACTTGTCCGGAGGGTTTCTTTGTGATCACCCGTGGTGGAGAGATCGGGTGGGCATCCGGAGGTTGCCCGTAGGGGGGGCAATGTCAGGGATCCCCTCGATCCCCGCCGCGATGGTCCCGGCGCAGGCGCACTGCACCGCCCTGTGCAGGGACACGGGCACTAGTTCCGGGCCGGCCGCGGCGTTCGAGTTCGCGCATGCGCAGTAGAAGCCGCGGGCCGCCCGCTGGGCACCAATGGCAGCGCAGGGCGGGATATTTAAATGTCCCTGAGCTGTCATTTCAGTGCCTTCTGGTCTTACCTGTATCCTGTGATTCTGAACCTGTGCCTAAGTAAGTTATTGACCCGGATTGCTCTTGACCTGCTGATTTCTCCTGCCCAGACCCTTGCTTTGCCTGACCTCTCTTCCTGAATGCCCCTCATTAGATCTGACCTACTGTTGCTGACCTGGCGTGTGACCCGACCATTCTCTGCCCGCTCCCTTGTACCTTACCGCCTGCTACGTTACCAACTCGGCCTGTCTGACTTCGCACTTGCTCAGCCATCCATCCATCCCATCGGGGTCATCCGACCTCCTCACATTTGGCTCTCCCTGGTTGGAGCCCCTGGCGAACACCCCTACCACTGACAGGTGTGCTCAGTAGTGGCGACCTGGTCCCGGGGTACTACAAGTCCATCCCCACCATCAGGGGCCCTGGTGAACAAGTACCCTGGGGCTTAGACTCCGCGCTCTGGGCACGCCTGACCAGTGGAGTGCTAGTGGTGCCGCCCGGCGGTCCCTCACAGGAGGCCAGTGGAGGGATTGGCAGAGAGGGATGGAGGACACTGAGTGGAGGCCAGTGGAGGGATTGGCAGGGAGCGGTGGATGACACCGAGTGGAGGCCAGTGGAGGGATTGGCAGAGAGGGGTGGAGGACACCAGTGGAGGCCAGTGGAGGGATTGGCAGTGAGGGATGGAGGACACCGAGTGGAGGCCAGTGGAGGGATTGGCAGAGAGGGATGGAGGACACCGAGTGGAGGCCAGTGGAGGGATTGGCAGAGGGGGTGGAGGACACCGAGTGGAGGCCAGTGGAGGGATTGGCAGAGAGGGTGGAGGACACCGAGTGGAGGCCAGTGGAGGGATTGGCAGAGAGGGATGGAGGACACCGAGTGGAGGCCAGTGGAGGGAGTGGCAGAGAGGGATGGAGGACACCGAGTGGAGGCCAGTGGAGGGATTGGCAGAGAGGGATGGAGGACACCGAGTGGAGGCCAGTGGAGGGATTGGCAGAGAGGGGTGGAGGACACCGAGTGGAGGCCAGTGGAGGGATTGGCAGAGAGGGGTGGAGGACACCGAATGGAGGCCAGTGGAGGGATTGGCAGAGAGGGATGGCAGATACAGAATGGTTAGTAAGGTGGATGAGTCTGGCAGCAGCATTCATGATAGACTGGAGGGGGGATATTCTGGGTGGGTGGAAGGAAGAAAGGGAGGGGAGGGTGGAAGGAAGGAAGGGAGGGGTGGAAGGAAGGAAGGAAGAGAAGGAAATGGAAGGAAGAAAGGGAGGGGTGGGTGGAAGGAAGAAAGGGAGGGGTGGGTGGAAGGAAGGGAGGTCGGACTCAAATGCTCCGTCAGAAGCATCAGAGCCGTCAGCTGCTCTGTGTTCAATTCCCCACCCACACCTCCTCTGAAGCTGCACGAACTGGAGTGTAGGAGGGCACAGGGGAGGCAAAGCAGATCCACCCTCTTCTCCTATTGGTGCAGAGGATGGGGGGAGGGGCTGGGCACAGAGGAGCACACGGAGGGGGGGGGGCTCAGAAAGAAAACGTAACGTTCAGGAATGATCGGTGCAGCAGTGGGGGCAGTGACAAGCAGCGATCTCCTGTATGGCTTTCAATGAAGCAGCTGGAAGCCTATTCTCCTCCTCTCCCTCCTGCGGCTTCCAGCTGCTTCATTGAAAGCCACACAGGAGATTGCTGCTGGTCACAGCCCCCACTGCCACCCCTCCCACACACCCCTAGTCCCGGCACTGCTCACCCCCACCTTATTTCCACTTGCCCAATGCGAGCGGGTGAGTGGAAATTTCGAGGTCTGCTATAGGTGTATTCATGTACCTCAAGAAGCCTGACTGGAATACTCCCAGGACGTTGCTAGGATGTTGCTAAGTGAGGCCTAGTCATTACTGCTCAACCCCACCATCACAGGAGTGAGCCATTTCTCTGAATCAAAGCCTCTCACGTGTGCTCTCTCCCCCTGATGCAGTATCTCTGAGCTCAGCTCAGCTGGTGGAGGTGAACAGTAATGACTAGGACTCACCTAGCAATGCCCCGGGAGTATTCCAGTTAGCAGCTGTAAAAATGTCCAGTGTGCATGAGGGCTTAATATCCCCTGTGTGAACTGCAGGTTCTCTTCAAGCTGTGACAGTGCGTGAGGAAAGGACTGCCGATAACTGGCAAGCCTGATTGGACACAGCTGATCGCATGGTAAAGGGCTGCTGGGATTTGTCCAAATGACACAGCGATCACAGAGCGCACCAAGTGTGCACCCCAGGGGGAGGGAGGGAGGGGGTTTGTAATTCTCAGAGAAGATCTAATAATCTTTTTTTTTCAGCCGATGGCCAGCTTCCTAAGGAAAGTGGTCCTAGCGGCTCATTAGCCACTTGATCGCTTTCCATAGCAGTGGGAGGAAGGAGATGCGCCCCCCCCCACTTCCACTGTTCGCCGCTGTTTCTCAGGCTTAAGGTTAAAACTGCCGCACCTGAGAGACATTCAGTGCGGCCGGCTGCTGATAGAGGCAATAAGAGACTCTCTCGTCTCCGATCGCCTCTGGTCATGGAGGAGCGGAACGACGTCATAACGTAACTTCCTGTCTGGATGTAAACAATTGTTTTTTTTCTTTTTTTAAAACAAAAGATCACAATTTTCTTTTGCTTTGAAAAGTAAAGAAGAGATCTGGGGTCTTTTTTGACCCTAGATCTTTCCTTAAAGAGGACCGGTCATGTCTATTTATATTACAAGGGATGTTTATATTCCTTGTAATAGGAATAGAAGTGATCGAAATAAATAAATAAATGAGACAGTGTAAAAAGAAAAAAGAAAAGAAAAAGAAAAAAAATGTAAAGCACCCATCCCTTCTTGCTCGAGCACACAAGTGAACACATACGTAAATCGCACGCATATGTAAACGGTGTTCGCAGCACACATGTGAGGCATCGCCGCAAACTTTAGAGCAAGAGCAATAATTCTAGTGCTGGACCTCCTCTGTAACTCTAAATAGGAAATCTGTAAAAAATTTTAAAGGGTCACCTATGGAGATTTTTAAGTACCGTAGCTTGTCACCATTCCACGAGCGTGCACAATTTTAAAGCATTACATGTTAGGCATCAATTAGTGATCTTTTGCTTTGAAAGGTAAAGAAGAGAGATTTGGGGTCTTTTTGACCCCAGATCTTTTTTTAAAGAGGACTGGTCATGCCTATTTATATTACAAGGGATGTTTACTTTCCTTGTAGTAGGAATAGAAGTGATCAAAATAAATTAATTAATTAATAAATAAAGAGACAGTGTAAAAATAAAAAACAAAATAAATTCTAGTGCTAGACCTCCTCTGTAACTTTAAATCAGTAATCTGTAAAAAATGTTAATTGGTCACCTATGCGGATTTTTAAGTACCGTAGTTTGTCCCCATTCCACGAGCGTGCGCAATTTTAAAGCATGACATGTTGGGTATCTATTTACTCACCTTAACATCCTCTTTCATATTTTACAAACAAAAATTGGTGTTTATATTGTGTTTTTTTTTTTTTATGAGTCATTTATATGTATTTTTTTCCAAAAAAACTGCGTTCAAAAAACCGCTGTGCAAATACCATGTGACAAAAGTTGAAACGATTGCAATTTCATTGTCTAGGGCATTTGCTTTAAAAATATATAACGTTTGGGTGTTATAAGTAATTTTCTAGCAAAAAAATACTGATTTAAACTTGTAAACAAAACATCCCAGAAAATGCTTGGCCTTGAAGTGGTTAATTACTACTTTTATGACTTTCTCACCACTATTATTTATTCTCCCAATTTTTTTTATAGAAAATAAAGGAATTCTTACTTTCTGGTCAGCAGTGTTCATGGACTTCAAACACCAGTGCGGGCTCTGCCAAGATATGAACGCCAAGTTCTCAGCGGCAAACGCCAGGGCCCACAACAGCAGGAGAACAACACCGTGACCCCTGCTCCTCTCTCGCTCCAGGGCCCTCGTCCGCTCCAAGTGAAGGAGCCAAATACTGAAGGCCCAGGCGCCTGCATAGAGACAGCCGTGTACAATCATGTACCCATACAGGTCACCGCCACCCGCGGCCTGCCAGATCAGACCTCCCAGAGCCTGTAGGATCAGCACCACGGACAGCGCCAGCTGCAGGCGGTACAGGCGAGACTTGGGGATGTACTTGGGCTCCATCGTCCGGCTGTGTGTGACATAGCAGGCCGACTGCACCGTTCCCAGGAGGATAGAAAAGCTGAGCAACACTGACGGGACCAGAGTGAAATAAAAGCATGGCGAGAGGCCGCTGTCCAGCCAAGCCTGGGACACACTGCCATTTTGCTCGCAGTAGCTCTGCAGCATCACCATTCTGTCAAATCACAGTACTGCACCTGTGGGGGGGAAAAAAAGACAGCATTAGTACATTCTGTAAAATAGGTTTTTACTTACAACAGAATTCAGGAATCAGTCAGTCTGGGAGTGAGCAGAAGGTGTCATGGCTGAATCTAAGAATTTACAATTTTAACCACTTGCCCTCCAGAGGACCCCCCCCCCCCCCCCGCCTGACCAGGCCATTTATTGTGATATGGCGTTGTGTTACTTTGACAATTGCGCGGTCATGCAACGCAGCACCCAAATGAAATTTAGGCCCCCCCCCCCCACAAATAGAGCTTTCTTTTGGTGGTATTTGATTGCCTGTATAGTTTTTATTTTTTATTTCCTTCCCCCACCAATACAGCTTTCTTTGGGTGGTATTTGATCGCTTGTGTGGTTTTCACTTTTTTGCGCTATAAATAAAAACATTTGGAAAAAAAAAACAACCTATATGCTTGACTTTTTGCTAATAAACATGTCCAGTAAAAAAATGTAAAAATTAACCGCTTGCCGCCCTGCCACTGTGTATATACGTGTGCAGGGCGGCAGTGGAGCGCAAAACCACGTTTTAAAACGGGTTCCGCGCTCTCGACACCTTCGCCGGCAGTGATTTCTGGCTGAAATCGGATGATCGGTCCCTGTCCTATCCTGTCCTGTGTTGATATTTACACAGGACAGGATATGATGTCATTCTTCTCTGCCTGGACACAATCCGTTCCAGACAGAGAAGAAGAGACATTTAAACATGAGTAAAACAGCACACTGACAGTTAGAACACAGTCTAGGACACATTTAACCCCCTGATTGCCCCCCCAGTTAACCCCTTCACTGCCCTGTCACCAGTGTCACTGATCAGTGAAGCGATTTTTACTGATCACTGTATCAGTGTCGCTGGCGACTTCCGATAGTGTTAGCGCCCCTCCCAGATAGCGCCAGATTGCCCGCTAATACACCAGTAGTCCCGTCTAACCCCTTGATCGCCCCCCCCCCCCCCTCCACCCTGAGTTGACCCCTTCACTGCCCTGTCACCAGTGTCACTGATCAGTGAACCAATTTTTACTGATCACTATATCAGTGTCGCTGGCGACTTCCAATAGTGTTAGCTCCCCTCCCAGATAGCGCCAGTTTACCCGCCAGTACATCAGTAATCCCATTTAACCCCTTGATCGCCCCCTCCCACCCCCCCAGTTAACCCCTTCACTGCCCTGTCACCAGTTGTCATTGATTACAGTGAACAGATTTTTACTGATCACTGTATTAGTGTCACTGGTGACTTCCGATAGTGTTAGCGCCCCTCCCAGATAGCGCCAGTTTGCCGCTAGTAAACAAATAATCACATTTGACCCCTTGATTGCCAAGAACACGCTTACTTGCACGCTAAACCTTCATTGCTAGTATAGTGTCTGATTGGATCAAATATCTTTGATCAGATCAGCGCTATACCAGCATTCACATTACTTTAGTATCCCCAAAAACGCAGTGTTAGCGGGATCAGCCCCAACACCTGCCAGCACCTGCGTTTAGCCCCTACGCCCCCCCCCCTTCTCCCCCAGCAAGTGCAGTGTCAGTAGATAACTGTCACTTGATACATATTACACACAAAACCGCAGTGTTCACAGAATCAGGCCTGATATCTGTTAGCACTTGTCGGTAAATTTTTTGTAGTGGTTCAAGCAGTCCCTGACAGCCAGGCGCTCTTTTTCCCATGAGTCGCACTAGGTACCTGTAAATTTAGTGGTCAAAATGTCTAAGCAAAGGTACTCTAGTGAAGAGGCCTATAGGATTCTGAGCATGTCAAGTGAGAGCGAAGGGGAAGACTCACTGGCAGAACCAGGCTCAGAATACGAACCTATAGACAGCAGCGGCACCCTGACAGGTAGCTCAGACGACGAGAAAGTGGTCCCTGCTAAGGTCAGGCGTACCCGATCCCATTCACA